CCAGGAGTGAAACTATTGGAGTCTCATTTTTCATCACATCTTTGAATTAACTCTTCTTCTGAGGAAATTTGCTCCAGAAATAACCAGACAACATTGTGTCCAGCCAGCTGAAATGCAGAGGAGATATAACTTGTGACTTCTATTCCACCAACATTTTTTTGTTTCCTTTAAATCATAATTTTTCATTTGACCGCATTCACTGCTAAATCTTAGAAGAATTAATTTCACGGAACTACTGTACCCTATCTTTAGGACATCCTTTCTGGATAGAGCCATGCTTGTTATTATCTTTCTCAAAGGCTTCACCATGGTATCTAATGAGTGGATTACATTTGCTCCTATTTTCCAAAGTTACCAGAGATTTCTGGGACTGGATATGTGGTCTCAACAGGATGGAGTATGAAGGGTCCTCAACATTTACACTAGCTCTGTGCTGAGAGTTAATTCTAACCTCACTTCAGGGTTTACTTGTAGACCTGGTCTCACCCTAGCTTTTGAGGCTGATTCTGCCTCCTATGAGCAACTTAACTACATTAGCTCAGGGTCCATCTGAAGCTTTCTACACTGTCTTAGAATCTAGTATCTGTCCTCTGCTTGGTTTTTGTGACTCAGTCCATTTGCAAGAGCCCCTGTCATGTTCCCTTGACCACATTCTTCTTACCTGGTCCTCTGGGAAGTCTATCTTTCTCTCCCAAATGCCTGGTCTTCAAGCCCCATGACCTTTACAATGGTTTATGTCTGGGTGAAAGTTGAAACTGTAATTTCTACCTGGTGACTCTGCACCCAGCCTGAAGAGGTTGTGTGCCTGCCAAATGGTCTCCACACTTTCTTGTTGATATCATCCAACGTGATCTCTAACAACATTTGCAAAATAAGAAAGTGCTGCTATTGAGATATTTGAGAGACTCTGAACTGCAAATCAGCCGGACTGAGGAAATGATAAGTATCCTGTCCATAAGGAGTATCAAGGGCTTAGTCTTTCATGTATTCTCCTCTAACTTTTGTATGTCAGTAATTCATAAATTTTTAGCACTGATTTTAAGACACAATCTGTGTGAAAAAAAATTTAGTTAATACTCCGAGTTTTCATATTTGGATTTGAAAACAAGAAGAGAAGTTACTATCTGAAAAAATATTTTAATGGATCCATGAACCTGATGGGGCTGTTTTGCTCAGGGATTTGGAGTGGAATGAACAAATATTTTAGACTCCACCTCCTCTGGGAGAGAAAATTGAATTTGTGTGGTAGTATTGGGCAAATCACATCCCCTTATCTCATTTTCACATTTAAACTCTGACATCCCATCAGTGCAAGACCCCATTTGGGGAAATTTAATGGATTTTTGGCCTCTGAATCCAGTTAATCTTTGGAAAAATGGACTATGTTACTGTTTTGGATCAGGGTAAGAACATGATTACACTTACGTTAAATATTTTGTTTCTGGCTTTTTGCTCAGCTTTTGTTAAATAATACCATAATGTTTCAAAAAATGGTGATATTTTACACCAAGAGACTGACCTTGAAAAACTTCAAATATAAGTATAGTTTAAGATTTGAGGTTTCATTATGAAAACATATCTGTATAGTAATGTTTTGAAACATGTGTATACCATTGAGTGTTCCACTCCATCTTATAATGCAGAGCGTCTCCAAAGGAGTACAGGGTGGTCTCTGTGGAGTCTGTGCACAGGTCCACTCAGCGCACTTGGCCTCACCATTTCACCCCTCTTTTGCTCTCTCCATTCCTATGTTATGAGGGAACATTAACTTTGAAATTACTCTGAGATTAAGGATTATGAGATCCAGTCTCTGCACACCTTTCTGAGGAGCAAAGGTGAAGAATAAGATTAAACAACTATGTGCCATTTGATCCCTCAGGAAGGTTTAGCATAATGGTAAGCATATTGCATGAATCAAACCTGTGAATTTGAGGCACTTCCTTGCCATTTCCTAGCTGAGTATCTTGGGACAAATCTCTTAATCTCTCTGAGCCTTTTTTTTTTTTTTCACCTGTAAATGTAAGGATCATATTAATCCTGCCAATCTCACAGAATTATGGTGGAATTCAAACTTGGCCATGAATGTGAAAGTTCTTTGGAAGCAGTAATCCTTGTCCTGTATAAAAGATTAAGGCTTCAAAGCCCAGAAACTGATGGTGTCTAAGTCGTTACCATGAAGATAGATGAATGCATTATCTGATGGGAGAAGGGGAGAAGGGGACTCAGAGGTTGTTGAGGAAATCAGAAGATAGAAAAAGAAGTCTTGTGGGTCAGGGCACCTCTTTTGGCAAATTTGGGAGGTCCTGTTTGTGAGATGGGACACAAAATCAGCCTTGCTGGTGACACTAAATGGCACTTCAGGCCATGCATTTCCTTGTCCTTTTCATGATTGACTGGTAAAAGCTGGCAAGATATTGCTCATCAGCAGTGAATTCACATATTCAAGCTCAAGTGTATCTACTAAGATGTAAAAATGGAGGATAGATTTTTGTGACCAAAAATTCTATGTAATGGTAAAATAATAGATTAATTTAGTCAAACTGGATTTTAAAAAATTAAGGAAATATGTTGTTTGAAGTCAGATAGGTAGCATGATAGACTATCATCTGAATGCTCAGATGGTACCTTTTTTTTAGCTGGTACCTCTACTAAACTTATGGACACAGAATCCATCCAAGAGAAGAAAGCTGCTCAGAAATCTCACAGAGTGGTTGCCAAAGAGTGAAGCACAATCTAGGACAGCCAAGCTGAGAATGTTGGTGAGGCAAGGAAGGAGGCTGACCCGAACACCTCCAAAATCCTTTCATGGCCACCTCAAAGATGCAGGTACTGGGGAGAAAGCCAGGAGCACCATAGCACTTAATGGGTCCTGAGGTGAAGCTGGCCATCCTAAAGCATGGGGAGCAGGGTGAGTGGGTTTTAGCTGTAGGAGTGTTGCAGTTAAGCTATCAGTCAACTGGGGGAAATGAAAATAAATCTTTAAGACAACAATTATTCAGACCTACGGTAATTTTTTACATTTTGATTGTGAGTGTACAATAATAAATCTATTTCTTTTGAGTAGATGCTTCCCCATTGATAAAAAACACAGAAAGCTTGATTCTAATTCAGAGGAAGCCAATGGCACTTTGTGAGAGGTATAAGAATACTGAATTTTTGAGCACTTTAAGGAAAATAAATCTCTTTTTCATAGATATGTTGCCTGTACTTACCAAATCTTATTTGACATAGTAATATTGTAACATGATGAAAGTAGAAAGGAACTTTTATAATCTTGAAGATGCTTAATTAAGAGATACTCAGAAATATTTGTAATTAGCAGACTTTCTCAGCAACATTAAAACTGGTTGCCCATACCTTTAAAAAGAGTATATTGTCCTCACCTTTGTTAATGCCATTAATCTTCTTATACTTAGCATAAAAAAATCTAAGCCCAAAATTTATTTGTGATTGACAGATTTTAGGTAGTAGGGTATAATTTAATATTTTTATTTTTTTAAACTTTTATATTGAATTTAATTAATTGGGATGGGAATCCTCTAGGGCTTTCATGCTGAGCTCCATTGTTGGCTCTTGTTTTATTTTTGTTTTGAAAGTAAAGTCTTGTGGGGCTGGGGATTTAGCTCAGCAGCATAAGTGCCTGCCTTGCAAGCAGGCAGTCGTGAGTTCGATCGCCGGTACCAATAAAAAGGAAAAAGACAAAAAAAAAGTAAAGTCTTGCTAAGTCACTAAGTAGTCCAGTCTGGGCTCAAAATTGTGATTCTGCTGCCTTGGGATTTCAGAGTGCTAGGGTTACAAGCATAAGTTATCTATCACACTAGGCAATTATCTTACTTTTAAAATCAAATTGTGCTTAGTTTTGACAAAAATAAAGTACATTTTCTTCAAAATTCAAATTACACAGTAAAGAAATTATAGAAATATACAATAGGTAGAACACTGACCTCCCTCTTTCTTCACTGAGCTCAAGCTGGTATAAAGATTGCTTCTATGACCTCAGCCCCTTTCTCCTATTAGGGACCCCAGGTGTTCAATAGAGATTGTCTACTGTGTGTGCTCAGCGCTGGATAAGGTTCTGAATGGATTAAACCCATTAGTACATGTGAAGATTACATTTTCCAAGGAAACTTGGAACCCTGTCACTCTTCCATTAAGTGGTAAAATCTAAATACACACCCTTAAAACTACATACACTTTTGTGTATGTAGCATAAAATATTACGCAGTGAAAATGACATTATATAATTTCTGGGTCTGAATCATAACAGTTCCAAACACCTAGATCTCATTCTCTTAGGCTGTTGATTTGGAAGGAGTCTGACTTCCCTGAAGCCTTAATGCTGTGGGGAAGCCCACACTGGTGCAGGTGGAGACACCACATGGAGAAGCCTCATGACCACATAGAAAGTGCTCATGCTCAGTCTGCCCTCCAGCACCATCTACTCTCCATCTGTTCCAGCCACAATCTGGCTGCAAATCCATGAGGGGCCCCAAACCAAAGTCACCAGCTGAGCTCACCCAATTTATATCCCTCAGAAACCATGAGAAATATTAAGATGATTGTTGTTTTAGGCCCTAAGTTTTGAGAGACTTTTCATGAAGCATAGATAACCAGAACAGTAGCTCTCCTCTCTTATAGCAGGATGGACACATAACCTCCTCCAGCCTAATCAAGGGTCAGCCTCAAGAGATTTGGTGAGAAAGTTAGAGCACGGATATTTTTTTATCTTGGGCTGGAACCATTTGTCTACAGCAAGAGAAGACAACGTGGGAGTGAAAACCACACACAAAGGACACAATGTAGAGAGGGATCATGATGACATCAGTGAGCCTGAGACAATTTGAACTGGTTAGCATCCATTATTAGGAGTCACTTACACTAAAAAACAAAATAAATATATATGTATATACGTGTGTGTGTGTGTGTGTGTGTGTGTGTGTGTGTGTGTATGTAGAAAGAGAGAATGAGTGGGGGGGGCAAGGAAAATCACCATACTGACCTCAGAATTAAATGTTTTATTTGATCTCCAAGTCTTTCCTATTTTATTTCCAATCTGTGACTGACCAGATCCTTGAAGGCTTCAATGTTAGGGACCTCAACACCACCTGGAGCACCCATTCCATCTCTAAGCGAATTTGATTTCTGTGTCTCTACAGTAGTTTCCATGTGATAGAATGGAAAATTTCTAGTGCTTTATATAAGAGGGTTACCTATTTAGCAAGTTCATTAGGATAAATTTTACATATTTAAACTGCCAAAACAGAGAAATGTAGACTGAAGTCTCTTCTAGTCCCCTGAATTGACAATTGGCTGTATATTTTGTATCCTGAGTGCACTGACTCATGGATAAACTTAAATCAGCACCCAACAGGAAAAGGTGCCTTTAGTCTCCTTTTCCTGATCAGTAGTGAACTCAGTCACCTGGACAGATCATTAAGATCATGATAAATATGCCAACAAATAGCCTGGGAATGGGAGAGACAATTGATACTGCAAGAGACATCAGGATTTCCAAATCTTTGATATACTAAACAATTACCAAATACAATAAAATAAAATTTAAAACTATTATACACAAAGTGCTGCCTTTCTCAAAATCAGCTAGAGGTGTATATGACAAATAAAAAGTGACTGAATTCAGTGTTAACATGAAGAGAAAGATTTAGTAATCTTACTTGTCAAAAACAGTAGATGTGAGACCAAAGGGTTATGTATCTTTGTAATCTTAGGTGGTATCAACGGAAGCATAGCGTCCAAATCAAGGTTGGGATTATCTCCTTTCTCCATGCTGGTCAAACTTTTCCTGGGTGACAGTGTTCCCTTTATGAATGCCGTATGCTTAGACGAGACTGACAGACAGAGCTCACTTAGAAGCAAACGATGTATGGTGGGAAAGTTAAACCTTATCACAACAGAAATGATTACAGGATATGGACTTTTGCCCAGAAAGAACTACAATATCTGGACTGCTGGAACATCTGATAAGGTCACATTTTATCCTTTTGAGGGAAGGGAAACACCACAAAGGAAAATCCACAGTTGGCTTCTGGGTCAGAACTTTAAAGCTAGAATTTCTAAAACACATCTTCTTTAATCTGCAGTTCTTAGTCTTTATAGATTTGGGAAACACCACTGAAATGCTGAGGGACTCTCCAGAAATCTTCCTTATAAAAGCCACAGCAACTTCATAATTTGGAATTTTTTCAGGTTTGTGGATTCCTCTGAGGTTCACAGATCCCATGCTGAGGATCTCTATCTGGAACAATGAGAGACCGAATGGGTTAATCTTGTAAATTGTTGAATTAACAGAAAGCACATAAACCGCATTTATATTGTGACATTAGATAACCTCCTGGTACTGTACATTCATTTTCCTCTATTTTCTCTTTCCTCTACCTGTTATCTCTTTGCCAAATAAATAACTATTATAATGTAGATATTGCTGAATATTGCTAAGAGTAAAATGGGGAACTGGGCATGGTGGTGTAGGGCCATAATCCCAGCAGTTGGAAGGCTAAGACAGGAGATTTCCATGAGTTGAAGGACAGCCTGAAATCCACAATGAGTTACAGGCCAAACTGAAATACATAGCAGGACCCTGTCTCCAAAAAAAAAAAAAAAAAAAAAAAGAAGGGAAAAAAAGTATAAGGGATTCTTTGGTTGTTTTTTTATCTTCTTACCATGAGAGTGAGATAAAGAGCCTTTAAAATCCCTTCCTCTCAATTTTCTTTCATATTTTAAAACATATTCTTTTCACTTCTTTCTCTTTTTATCTTGTTCTATTCCATCTCTCCTTCAGCAAGAAAAACAGCGATGGTATGGTGGGGGTGTCTGAGATTTTGGGCGCATAACCAACCAGAAGCTGCATCTGGTCAGGGACACTTTCCTAACCTCTGACCCTCCTTCCCTCAGTGTCTGCCCTCCTCCAATTAGCACCCATCTTTATCCCAGACTTCCAAAGATTCTTGGATGTGCAAATAGAAGTGTCTATGCATTAGCCACACTGACTTCATGAAGAGCAACATTTGGCTATTGAGAAATGCTATCAATCACATGGGTCTTTTTGAAAGATTTAATCTGAACTTTGATGAAATATGCTAAGATTTCAATGAGGATATATACTAACTTGAATTATAACTCAGCTTGGTTGCTAGTCTTTTGTCTACTAAAGGATATTAATTTCTCATGCTGTATTACCTCTGTGTTTTTCATAGAAAATGTAACATTGATTTATTTCACTGACCTGCCTTGTGCAAAATATTGTTGTGTGCTACTCCCATGATAGATAATAATAATAGATGATCAGCTCCTGGATAAGTTAGCTTTACTTAATAATCTTAGGGATTAAAACAGGCTGCAGAGGCAGCTGCCAAATTCATGTCTTACCAGCTGGATATGTAACATTGGACAGTTGTTCATCTTTTCTGGGTCACAGTTTAGCCACAAGCAAAGTAAAAATTATAGTATTTAATGGGGTTTGGTGAGTGAAGTAATTTATGTAAAGCACTCAGTCCAGTATCTGGAACATACTAAAAATAAAGGTATTATTTTAATGAATGTGATCATTACCTACAAATTTGAGTCTCAAAAATTTTATCAGGAAGGAAAATTTATATCAAGCTGCACTGAGTTTGCAGATACCGACCCCCTACAATTCAGCTTTCATATGAACTTTCTGTGGCACTGCAGAGTATAAGTTCATTGCAAGAAGTAAAACTTAATGAAATTCTCCAAAAATCTGATTACTGTGAATTTATTAGAAAAAATATAAATCAATGAGTTTAAACAGTTTATTGCCAACTTCTGGATTTTTCTTCATGTTCTGTTGCCTAGATGAACATGTTCCAATTTGTATGGTTGTTTCAAAAGAAAAGCTGACCAGACTTCCTTTCATTTATTAATGTCAGGTGCAACTAAGCTGCCTTAAGTAAATAAAGTACTCACTCTTTCTCACCTCTCACTTTAATCCATTCCATACTCCTTGTTCATTTTATTGCTGACAAGAGCACTATGGTTTTGCTAAGGTAGCAGAGTCTGATACTTGCTCTGGGTCGAGTACTTTCAGTGACTAAAGTGTGTGGTGTATACAGATGTTTCCACTGCTGGGGCAGAGAATTTAAGATTGTCTTCAGTATATGTGGAACCTTAAAAAAAAGTCACTCATCTAAATCAGAGAGCATTTTGGTGAGGCTTGAAGAAGGGAAAGTACTTTTTCATCTGTGTTTGTAACTTATAGAAACACCATAGTCTCTAGGATGGGCTCAGAAAAGGCTCTGTCTGGCCCACGGCAACCTTGGCTCCACTTAGAATAAAACCCACATGGAGAAACATACAGAGGAAACTATTTGGGAGCGGGAACTGGGTGTGTTTCAGACATTAAGTCTGCAAAGAAAAATCTGTGGACTTTTCTTTTTTAAAGAAAAATAAGCGCCTGGAAATGAACTTTGAGAGAAATCTTTTATTCAGGAAATCTGCCCAGAAGGGGGAAAAAGACACAATGAGACGGAATCCAAATTGCAATGCTCACCTCCCTATTCTAGGGACAAAAATGAACACAGCAGTTGAAAAATAGATCAAATAGAGGCAACTGGTAGGTTGAGTAGAAATGGAAAGATGATTGCTCTTCATGCCAGTAAATGATTGCAATTTCACTCTGTATGTGTAAATAGCTGATTTTAGATAGATAGATAGAGAGAGAGAGAGAGAGAGAAAGAGAGAGAGATTATATATATGATTATAGAGATAGATAGATATATTATAGATAGATAGATAGATAGATAGACAGATGTTATAGTTGCTTCTATTTTGTTCTGTTTGTGGGCTGCTCATGGTCTCTCTCCATTCAGTTCTTTTCTGCATAGATTCATATCTTATAAGAAAAAATAGGAATAAAATAAAAAAGTTAAATTAGTTCCTGCCTACCATGATGGACACCAGAATCCACAGAGACATGCAACACAGACTAAGTGCAGCTGCTAGAACATTGTGTTAGTTGCTTTCCTGTTGTTGGAACAAAATACCAAATACCTACAACTTAAAAGAGAAGTTTATTTGTCTCACAGTTTCAGTGGGTTCAGTCCGTGGTTAGCTGGTTCCAAGCAGAAACAGTATGCCGGAAGAGTTTGGCAGAGGAAAGGGAAGCTGGGAAGCACAGAGAAAATGCAGGAGCTGGAACAACAATATATCCTTCAGGTCACATCCCCAAGAACAGTTTTCAACTAAGCTATATCTCTTAACAACCCATTCAGGTATGAACTCATCAGTAGATTAATCTATGGCCTCCATATCCCAATACAATGCCTACACAACCCAATCACCTCTTGAAAGTCCACCTCTGAACGTGAAACTTTTTGGAGGCATTTTAAATCTAAACCATAACAAACTTTCTTCAGTCATTCCCATCTTTGAACATCAAGTGAGCGCAAATCAATGGTGTGTCTCTATCTGCCTCTGAGGTTTTCAGGGATCAGCATATGCTTCTGAGGCTAGATCTTCAAATGATTTTTTTTCTCCATCCCTAGTTCCCCCATATCCTGTTCTACCCTTTTTGCTATTAATTGTAGCAACTAAGTTTCCTGTGGTCTCAAGGGCAATTTCCAAAATTAAAGTAGTGATGATGATGTGCATGTCAAAATACTATTGTGGAAATGAAACACCACCACATTTGTTTGGATACAGGACAAAAATAACCAATTATCAAAATATATGCTACAAAATTTTAAAAGTAGAACTTACTGATCACTCAGTCAAAACAAGTATTGTGGATGTGTGGATGTGTGTGTACATGTATGTGTATTCACAACTTCAAAATATTTTCATCCTTGCTGTGTACTATGATAATATCACCCAAGGGAATGTCTTGTTGAGAGGCAGTTTCCTGGATTTAACCTTTCCATACTGCCACAGAGTTTTAGGAGTGAACTCAGGCATTCAAAATGTATTGTACTCTGAGGGACCTATTTTACATACTGAAGTTTAGAACCATTGGATCTAAGATGCCTGAATAGTTTGGTCAATTTAGTGACACCACCAAATCAAATTAGTTAGCCTGCCTTGCAATTAAAAGATTCATTTATTCATTTATTAAGTAAATAGTGTACAATCTACATATATCCTTGTGCATCCTTGTGATGACAAAGTGTCTCCCACCTAAGGTTCAGAGACCAGAGAGATGATCTTCATATACCCTTCTTGTGTGCAGGTGTAGGCTGTTAATCCCTTTTCTGGGGGTGTTCCTGTTTACCACTGGATCACCTGCTTTCACAGAGCAAGGGTGTATACACAGGACCAAAACAGAGAAAGGTATCCCCAAAGAGATCTTCCCAACACAGGTTGGAAGAACTTCCTATTCCCTGCAAGGAAATGTTCCCAGCCAAGGCAACTCCTATGTGACTATGCAGGAATCCAAGACTGTTTGTATAAGAATAACTTTCCTTCAAAATAGCTACTCATACCTCCATACATATTGAAATCAAATAATAGAAAGCATTATGGTAGCCATTGTTGATTTCCTATTGTCTTGTTTTGAAGTCCCATAATGCTTTAATTCTTTTGTTTTGATTGGTTTTATACTATTTTGTTTTGTTTGAATTTATTGTATGTGAAGGTATAGACAGTTATTTCAAAGAAAACAAGAGACATTACTGTACCCACTGTTGAATTCTTGTTGTTTTGTTTTGAAGTCCTGTGTTACTTGCATTTTTCTGTTCTAATTTGTTTTGCTTTGTTTTGTTCTCTTTAAAATAGAAAAGTTTTTTTTTTAAAGAATACCTTTCTTAACAAAAATTAGGTATGAAGAGCAGCAATGTATTACTCAAGTGTTTCAGAGCTCCCTAAGATTTCTAGAATCCCTCTGGTATTAGCTTCAGAGAAGATGGCATCTGAGGCATGCATTGGAGGATGGTAGATAGTGCATGGGAAAGAAAAGAAGATCAAAGAAAGAGTGGAGAAACATGACCATGAACCTTGACTAAACCGAAAGGCCTTGAACAAACCTGGGAAAGCCAGACCTAAAAGAGTAAGAGGCAATTAGATCAGCTATGGCTCTGAACTCCAAAAAAGAGTTGGGGACCAATGGAAGGAATGCATGAAGTTTACTTGGATATTGTGATGAGTTGAGTTGTGTCTTTCCAAAAAAGGATTCTTGAAATTCTAGCCTCCAACTTTATTTTCAAATAGAATTATTGCAAGACAAAAGCAAGTAAATATAAAGTCATCAGGATAATCCCATTATGACTAATCCAGTTATGGCTGGTG